AAGAAATTTACAAAAAAATACTTTCTCATTTCTTGGTGAGAAAATAAGAAAGGTGGTGACGAGTAGAGTTGGACTGTGGGAGCGAGAGAGAGAGAGAGGGAGAGGAGGAGGAGGAGGAGGAAGAAGATTATTAGGTTAAGATTATGTAATTGTATTTTGTAACTTATTTGTCTCGTGATTTTTGTCGTTTGGAATGGAGTAGCGTCTTTTTTTTTTTAACTAAGTGGGTCGGGTTAAATTGGTTTTCTTGAATTAACCCGTGACCCAACCCGCCTTCTTCGCCCAAAACCCAACACAACCCAACTATATATATATAAAACGACCCAAACTGGTTGGTTTGGGTTTATTTGGGCGGTTTAGACGGGTTGGTTTGTGTTTTGCCCACCCTTACGAATAAGTGACAAGGAAGAGCTCAAGATTTCAGTGAGCATCAGCATTCAGATTGAAAAAGTAAGCGCGGAAGTGAATGCAAAAAGGAAGTAGTCAACTTGATTAGTATATAGTGATCGAAAGAGTTATTTCAAAATGTTTGTATGTATATGACTAGTGTGGCAGAAAAACCCATTGTAATGTTAGTATGAACTCTTGCGATTGCATTTTGTTATTTGCAACTTGGCATCTTTTGTTTCGTTAATGAGGCTAACATTTTTATAATAGTTTGTTTGTTAATTCTATCATTTGAGAGTTTGCTATAGTCACTGGTAGGCAAGACCATGAATTCAACTTTGTGCCTTCTGGGACATTTTTCCAGCAGAGTCTTATATGCCTTGAGCTTCTCTATAAACTTCAGAGAACTCACTTCCCTGCTTAAAGAAGTTGAAATTTACTCATTAAAATATTCCTTAAAGCAAAGCCTTATATCCCTTGAGCTCCTCTGAGGATATGCTTTATTGGGTTTATTAGTCAAGAAATATGAAAAACTCGTTTGGGAGGGATTAAAATTGAAAAACTAGCCGTTATTGTTGACTTTTATTAAATGAGTGGGACCCAATAAAGGCTATATTTTCAATTTTAATTGAATTAAAATCCCTCCCAGACAAGCTCGAAGTACCAAACCTTTCGATGACATGATATGTTGTTTCTTTTTAAAGTGCATGGCATGCCCACATTAACTGCTTGGCTATCAAAATTGGTTTTTAAGTGACTCTCTGGGCAATGTCTTCGTCCTCATTTTAATTTTTGCTCGTTTCTTTGTTTAACACAATGTTATTTCAGGTTCATCAGCTGCAGAATGGGCAAAAGAAAACAATGTTTTCTAGCAAACTCCAGCATGTGGGTATTACATTGGCATAACTCATAGAGAACCAAATATTTTAGGCAAAATGATTTTTCAAAGAGATCAAACTTAAATACCTTTGTCATTGTTCTTTTGCAATATGTATGACTTAAAAAGGGTTATAAGATCTCCCAAAAGCGAGAGAAATTTTGGGAAAACCTACCTATAAGAACTTTCCGGTGAAGACCATATGTTAAATATGCACTCCCACTCTCATAATTTGATTAAAAAGGTCCCATATTCAACACAACAAGGCCATGTTCTTACAATTGGAAGATTGTGATGCATCTATTAACTGATAGAAAACAATAAATATAAATGAAAGTAAAAATGTTAAGATAAATTTTATAACAAATTACAGAGTGCTCAAATGCAAGGTAATTATAGACTAACACAGTCAGTAAGATGCATTGGGCAAAAATAGTTAACAAAAAGAGGTGGCGGCAACATTTTCTGATTAGATGACAGTGGTGGCAGCATTCGTCTATCATACAGACGAGCAAATGCAGCACTGCAAGCATTATCCACGGTGATTAGTTGGAACAACAAATAATCGCTGCAACGACTGAGTAGATAGCGCCGTAACTCCCACGAACAAGGAGCAAATGAGGCCTAGTAGGACCAATGTCATAAGATTGCAGAGCAAGTGACCGAANAAATAATCGCTGCAACGACTGAGTTAATCGCGAAGTACCTCCCACGAACAAGGAGCAAATGAGGCCTAGTAGGACCAATGTCATAAGATTGCAGAGCAAGTGACTGATAGGGAGGATCTGCCAATGATTTTTTAGCTCCACAACGTAAATCAAGCTGCCATCCAGGAGTAAAATATTTTAACTAGCAATCCCCCTAATAAAGATTTTCAATATATGTATACACTAACAATTTTATAGTGGACCTTAATGTAAATAAAAGAGACAACTAGGGGAGGAAACTTAAATTTTTGCTTAACCAATATAAAGAAAACACTTAAGCCACTGCAGATAATGCTCAAAATAAGCCAAGAGCCTGAGATTCATCTTATGACCCTTTTAAGTCATACATATTGCAAAAGAACAATGTGTTTCAATACCAATATCAAAACGGGTCATTATCACCTCATCTACTTTCCCCACGGCAACATCGACTTCATCTTCAAGCTCAACTAGCTTTATCTCATTTTTCATCACAGAGATCTCAACAATTTAACACCTTTCCTTCACCATCACCAGTCCATTGAAGCATCAAATAGTTTACATAACTGTTGTTAGGTTTTTGATTTAATTGACAAATCTGTGAACAAAAGGGCCTAGATTTAATGCGTTGTAAAAGTCAAGGAGTATGTTGAAAATAGTATAAATTGAGTTGTATTAGGTCTAGGGTTCGAGAATAGAAAGAAGGAAAAATTGGCGCCGCAATTTCGCTAGACTATTGCCATGACTTTGCTCGAACGGCAAAAACAGAAACATTGTCGCTAGCCGAGCAACATATTGTCGCCCAACTTTCGCTAGAGCTACAAGGTTATCTGGAGAATTTTAATTCATATTTTTAAGGCTTTTTATCTGACACATTCATTCATAAACCTACAGTATAGATACCAGATAGCATCTTAACATCTTTTTTTGAGGTTGAACATTGAGAAAACATTGATTGCTTCATATCTTCTCTATCTATAACTTTCAAACTTCATTGCTTATTTAGTTCTTGGCATTAAAAATGTCAAACTCACTTAATCCAAATACAAAACTGCTACTTCCTACACATCTGTCAGAGTGCTAAAAATCAAGAGAATGTGACTGGAGCTCCAGTTGTTGAAGAACGCGGAGTTTTTCGTTGATCTACAGGAAACAGATGAATTTATAAAGTCGAAAATTGGTGCATGAGTGCGCTATTCATGAGGGCTTTGAAAACTGCAGTTGGGAGTGGTGCATGAGCACGTAATCCAAGTGAGTTGTGAAAATTACAGTCAGGAGGTCAAAAAGTATTAGTGATAGTCGAGTGGGCAGATTGTAAGTTCTTATTCATTTATAGTGGATTGTTGACTGGCAAAATGTTTAGAGTTTTTACCAAGTTGGGGTTTCTTCATGATCATTCCTGGTGTTTATTTATTGTTTTCATATAACTGCGGCAATTCAACTTAAGAAAATTGACTTTGTTAATTAACTATCTAGAGATAATTAATAGTAACTTGTTGTTAGTTAATTATTAAGTTTTAATTCGACATTAACACATATATACCCTATCTAAGTGTAGTTTGGGTCGAACATCGTAATTTCAATTGGTATCAGAGCCATATTTCGATTCCTAACCTATAAATTAATCTAGATGAATCAGTCTCTATTTGTACCTCCGTTTTTTGTCGAAATCAACTATGCTTACTAGAAAATTTGAATGAGAGCATTTCTTAAAGCGTTGGATGAGCGTATTT